TTCCTGAAAATATTTTTTAATTTCTGTTACCTAGAATCCTAATATTTAGCTGAAATTATAATTTCTACTGGGGTTCCAAATCCCTTAGAAGCTAAGGAGTCCAATCAGCCGCAGCATTCCATCAAGCGGCATTCCAATGGGACCATCCTCGAGTCTCCTGGCCCAGACGAAAGGGTTTAGGGTTTTAGGGCTTAGGGCTTAAGGTTTGGGTTTTTTGGGGTTTGGGGTTCAGGGTTTTAGGGCTTAGGATTTTAAGGTTTAGGGCTTTGGGCTTTGGGGCTTTGGGTTTCAGGGTTTAGGGCTTAAACTTCTAGGTGAGTTCAAGATGAATACTTTAGGATTTAAGGCTCGGATTTGAGGGTCTAGGGCGCGAGATTGATTTAAAGGAGGTCAGGGTTTTCAGGGTGTTGGGCTCAGGGTTGTAGGGTTTATCACTTAGGGTATACAGTGTGGAGTCTAGAGTTGCGGTTTTTGTTTCGGCAATTTGGAGTTCACAGTTCAAAGTCTGGGGGACGGCCACCCTCGACAAAGGAGCTTCAATTAGCTTGGCATTCTTGTCCTGGGGCAGGCCAACAATATATTGCCTTGAAACATCGCATGAAGGGCGAGAGTACGATTTGTGTTTCCATGTCAGTTTGGGAAAGGGGAAGGCCCTGAGGATTGGCGATTTGGATTCAGGGTTGAGGGGTTAGTCCCAGATTCAGGGCTCCCCATATGAGCTACGGACTCAATTTAGGTTGGGGGGGACCTCCTATAGGGGACCATATAGGGTAGTGGGGGGACCTATTAAGGGATATACTACAAATTTACTCCAGGCTCATATTGGGTCGCCTCATCAATGGGTTCAGGGCTTGCTGAAACTTTCGTGCCATCTGAGTGAAATCCTTTCAGAAGTGCCTTACACTTTGCGGTACAGTTGGAGATTTACGGCTTGGCGTTTGAAACGTTGGGGCTTCCAAGAATTAGGTGGCCCTTCTGTGGGCCCCAAAGTAAGGATCCTAATTTCTATGTGTAGATAAGGGCCCCCCTCATTGTTAAAACTTGTCAAGTAGGGTTCTCGAGTAGCTTCCAGAAACAGGGAGCCCCCCAAAAATGATTCACAAAATACTTTAATGCTTCTGATAGGACACACCTTATTTCAGGACACCCCAGGCCCTCAATATCCGATATATCCCTGTACCCATTGTTGGGACCCCCCCTGAAATAAAGACCTCACTAAACCCGAAGCCTTGCTGAATTCTGCCGAAAGGTTTGCTTTCGCCCCATGTAATGTGACCTTGGGATGTGATGCGAGTTGCGGTCTCAGCAAGTCTGGTTCGAGTTGGGGGTTGAGGGGTTTAGGGGTTTGGGGTCTAAAGCTTTGAGTTTGGGTGAAACCCAAGATGTAACCAGGTGACAGCCTCTACTTGAGAAGCTTCATGGGACTTGAGAATTATGCATGCCAGGGCGTTTAAAACTCAACATAACTGTGGTGAGCTACATAAGTCAATTTTGGTCCAGTATAAGCAGGGCTATAGTCCCCCTTAAGTAGATAGAATATGGCTTTGGGTATACTATAGTAAGATCCCCACATACCCCACGTTCTATCTACTTGAGGGGGACTATGGGCCCAGTTCTAAGCAGCGACGAATTAGTCCCATGAGCCTTCAAGTACTCTCTGACAAATACTATCAGACACAATGCTCAATGCTCGTGGCTCGTAATATATGGTACTTTCCCAAAATGAGGAGACCCAATATAGACCAAAAAAATCCTCGTGATTGACACCCCTAAAACGCTATCCCCTAATTGGGGGGAACCCCTCATACGGTGGATACTACAAAACCCTGCCTGACCCTAAGTACCAAACACCTTGGAAGGAATGGTGCTATAGTATACTAAGGCCATGCCTTCAAGGAAAGAAGGAATCCTTACAGTAGTGGTTTAGGGCTTATGGTTCCACATAATCGTCAGCAGTATCTGTTTAAGGACTTTAGGAGGGACCCCTAATAGTGACCCTTAATCCCATTACCATATATAACCCTTATATAGTCCTTATATAACCCCT